CTCAAACCTCCGCCTGAAAACAACTTTTGCAGCCAGTTTTTTTTTAGCAAACGACTGATTTTGGAAATTTTATGGCGAGCCTCCGGGCAATTTTTCGGCGACGACAAGTACTTTTTCTGACACGTATCAACCCAATCTACGACCCCGTGAAGGCATTCTGCTCCAAAAGCGTGTATGGTGAAAAGTTATAAATCGTAAGACGCATCCCGGTTCCCGATCTGAACAATTTTTCCGACAAATTTGAATAGTTTTTCCTACTCGCTTTTGCCCGATGTACAGCCTTTAAGTATTGTTTCGTTGAAAAAGTGTGTCGTTCGTGAAATCCCAAGTCGTAGTTCGAATCTCGGTTTTAGATATGAACAAAGCAACGGTAAAGCATGTAATGAACGTGAGTTCTACGACCCTCTTTAAGTTTTTTATGTTTGGGGGAGAATACATACACAACTCGGCTTTACGTTTATATAAACTATATATGGTTTGTTAAAAGTTTATATTTTTCTTTTATATATATATATATATATATATATATATATATATATATATATATATATATATATCTTATGTTTTAAACTAACTAAAGATATAGTTTTAATTAATAAACAATAATCGTTATTTTATTCTTTGTAAACTTAACGCTCAAGAAAGTCGTTAAGCGTCATTTTTAATTATAAATGATATATTTACTTCTTTATGAACTTATACATTACTTTGTTTTTATTGGTTTAACAACCGATAAAACATAGTTTTTGTAAAAATACAGCTTTTATACTGCCCAATTTTTATTAGAAAACTTTTATTATAGTTTTACATAACAAACGAACATTTAGTCTAGTAAACTTTATAAGTGTAGGTTTAAGACATGAAAATAATATTTTTGAATGATTTGGACTTAACGAACGAACAATAATGTAGTAAAAATTTTAAAGAAAGTTTCGAACACAAATGCACACACTTTTAAATCTGTTAAAATCGAGATTTCTATATGAGTTGTTACTCTTCATCAACTAAGAACAAAAGCTTAGTAAAACCCTCTGTATTGTACTATAACTGTGAATCTTAAACGAGCGAGGAATGTTGTGTATAGATCTATACGTGTTGACACCACCGACTGTAGTAGCTAGTTATAACCTTCGCCTGACGAGTCGAAAAGTGCGATAATGTTCATTCACGACGTCGATGAAGCGTTGGTGATGTTCTCGGCACGCCACTTTGCAGTGTCATACGGAGGCTCAATCCATTCATTTAGCTCGGTTATATGCTCATGATAACCCCAGAGTTCACTCTAAAAGCACTCGTATAGAATTGAAATAGTGTCTATAAGCAACCAATGCACTCGTATAGAATTGAAATAGTATTTATATGCAGCCAATGCACCCGTATAGAATTAAAATAGGATTTATGCATAGCAATGCACTCATATAGAATTGAAATAGTATTTATACGTAGCCAATGCAATCGTATAGAATTGAAATAGTACTCTAGTGAAGATGCATTTGCAGCATCAAAAAGGGTTAGAATGGATCTGGGAACCCGAAGTCGAGATGCAAGGATAGTTTCCAGAGTTGTTTAGCGAGACAGATTTTGAGGATGAAATCCAGATAAGTGGGGGAGAGTTGTAACACTCGATTCCGGTATGTTAGTTTACCCTTTTGTTCATATGGAGGGTTTTGTAAATTCTCACCTTCGCGGCATGGTAGATGGCTTTCCACGATGTGGTATTGCCATGTCACCCAGACGCGATGCTTATTTAGACCACAACGCGATGACCCAATGGACTCTAAAGCTTTGAACCAAACCCAAGTTTGATTCAAAGAGAGGAAAGACAAATAACCAAATGCTTCTAATGCTTTTGTAAGAGAAGAGTGAGAGAGAGCAATAGAGAATTCAGATTTTGCATGCAAGAATGAGAGAGAAAAATGAAAATGTAACACCAAGATTTTGTTATGTTTCTCTTAAGAAGATTTATTCTCCAAGTTTTAGATTTGGTGGCCACGACGTGGTGAATGGAATCCCACGACGTGGCCATGTCCGGAAGGTGCACTAAGGTTTAGTGGGTGCCACGACGTGGCAGCCACTTAATGAAAAACCCTAATTTACGGGGTTTGCACCCATATTTAAGGGCTGTGATGGTTAGGGTTTGAATACCCTCAGCCTCCATCACCTCCCTTCCTCCCTACTTGAAACCGTAGACTCCATTGTTGAGTTTCCTGATTTTTATGGTGATTTTTGGTGGTTTGAAGAAGAAGAAGGTGGTCCTTGGGCATTAATTCAGCAAGAAACTCTCGTCATCATCTTTGTGCACTTGTTCTAGACCATTGTAAGTGTCCAAGCTCAACCTTGATGCATTAAACTTCTAGATCTAGGCTTTCATGCTAGTATTTTCATGATTGGGAAAGTTTGGATGAATGGATCTTATAAAGTTAGCAACTTTATGAATCCTTGAGGTTATTTTGGGGCTTGGTGTTGTAGATCTAGAGGGTTATTGAGTTTTGGTTACTTCTATGAAAATTTAAACCCTATTTTACACCATTTTGACCTAGTTTGAGTTCAAGACATGCAATGGACATACATGTATATAGCACAACGATTTTTATGATGTTTTGGGTGTAAGAATGATTTCTGGAAAGTATGAATGGATAACTTGACGGATTAAGAGTTTAATGCAATAAGCTGGTATGGGAATTCCCACGACGTGGAGATTGACATCCACGTCGTGACGCTATGCAGGTTTGCGGCTATTTTATCGTGGTGCTTCCTCGACGTGGCAAAGATTGGTCACGACGTGGCAGCTATCTGAGTTAACTTTTGACCGTTGGCCATTGACTTTTTTATCAAGTTTGACTTTGGGTCAAATTTAAGGTCGTGGGTTGTAGTTTGAGATGTGGTCCCTGTTTGCTGTATATGTGACATGTATGTTGGTTTTTGGATCTATGATCGTTGTTGTTTCTACTAGGCTGGGAGGTGAGTTTTCTCACAAGAACTTTGTATTGTAGTATGTGTCCTTCTATGTAGGAAGTTGATATATTATAGTGATATGGTAGATTAGTATATATGTATGATTACCTATATTGTTAGCTAGTGTTATTTGTTTACATATGTCGACATAATATGATTGGATTGAGGTATTACTACTTTGTGTTGTAAGCCAACAAACTCGGGAGCAATCCAATCATAAGTTGAGGGTCGGGAAGGGCATTCCAGTCTTATGTTGTGGGATCAAGAGCAAGCCAGTCATGAGCTCTTGGTCGGGAGGGGGCAATCCAGTCTCATGATGTGGGCTCAGTGGCAATCCAGTCTTATGTTTTGGGCCTAGTGTTCATGCACTGTATATGTATTTTCGTGTGGGGTATTTTGAGGGAAATCACTAAGCTTTGGCTTACAGTTGTTGATTTCAATGCTTTCAGGTACTTCAGATAAACGGGGCAAGACAAAGGTGTGATCGTACACATCCTCCTGCTGATTTGTGTTTGAGAGATTAATTGATACTCTAATTTCTTCGGATTTGATTTAAAAACAATGGTTGATTATCTTATGGTTTATTAAAATGTTTTTAACAAAATGAAGAAAAAAAATTGTCATGGGTTTTGGGATGTTACAGAAAGCCCCAACTCTACATGCATAAAGTGAAGTCGTTAACCATTAGATCTTTACACTTTTGAGCAACCATGCCCCTATGTCTTAATGCATGCTTTCTAAGGATTAAGGCTTTTTTATTAAACAAATAAAAGAACCCATTCCTTGTCTCCTAAACCATATATGGTTTTAAGCAACAAAAGAAACTCAAAATTTTATAAATCCTACAACTAGTTTATAAGATATAGATTTAAACCTTTTGGTAAAAAACAAAAAGTTTAATCTAGTCCAAAATGGTGTGCATGACATATTAAATCGTAACATATGAAATTATAATGTTACTTGTCATTGGAATATTATTTGTTTCCATGAAATAAATATTTTCTAATTTATTATAAGAGTTTATGAATATTTATTAAAATCAGTTTCTAATAAATAAATAATCAAATGTATCAAGTTGTTGTTAGTGTGACCCTTAAGATCATATGTTAATTAGCAATATCATTTTAATATGACTTTTGAACATACAAGATCTTTCATAAACATGGGTGACTTAATTGTAATATTTATTATTATCTATTTTGGACCCTATCTAGAATTATCTCAAGGATAGCATAAGTAGAGTAGTGGAGCATCCAGTATTTTTGCATTTTGCTAGTCTGTGGTGATTGCTTGGGCAAAAGGCTGTCTCATTGGAGAGCCTTTCTGATTAGGGCATGAAGAACCATTTGGGTCTTCATGGAATTTCTTCTTTTGTTTATCTTCTTCATTCGGTAATGTATGAAGTAATATAATCATACGCTTTCATTTGATCTAAATAGTCTTATACTGAAGTTGTTGAATTCATTCCTATCAATTGATTCCATTTCCATTATCTTCCAGCGGTTAGAATATATGGTTTTCACCCGGGAGACCCGGGTTCGATTCTCGATAATGGAACCAATTGATAGAAATTAATTCAACAACTAAGTATAAAACTCTTTAGATTAAATCAGGATCGGTCATGAGGAATTAAATATCCTCAAAGGCCCAAGACGAGTTAGAAAAAAAAGACCATTATCGTTATTATAAATTTTTATTTTTAAATAAAAATATATATAATATATAATAATAAAAATCTGGGTCCTGTGATGATAACTTTATTATGTGTCTTGGTGTCAAAAAAATCTTAATTAGAATATATTTTTTCAAGGAAAAGTGTGTGAATTTGGTCTAAAATTTTGATTTTACTTCAAATAAGCTGAAATGTCCATCTCACAACAAACCATTGGTATGATAATATAACAAATCCAACCCAAAAGGTTAGCTGTTGATCTGTTGTTATAATGTGTAAAATATGGCATAATCGCCCTTGTTGTAATAAAAGAATTAATAAAGTAAAATTCATTAAGATATATGTACTATATGGTAGCTAGTTGCTAGTTTCCCTATCTACCATGCAATATCGATACTGTAATTTCGTTTATGGTCATGAAATCATCTTGTTGGCTTGAAGATTCTGTTTCGGTATTTCTTCTTCTAATAAAGAATCCAGGATATTTTGGTAATGATATTTGTGCATTTTCACTGCACAATAACAATAACACCTTTGACATATTAGGTCTGTCTTCCGGGAGTTCCTGAACACATAACAGTCCAATTTGTATGCATCTCAATACTTCATTTTCCGAAAAATTGGCCGCGATAGATTTGTCTACTAGTTCTAAAGCCTTGCCTTCTTTCCATAAAGTCCACGTCTAAAAACATTGTCTTTGTTACACATAGGATAATTGAATATGATTGAAATAAAATGAACAAAATAATGTAATGAGTCATTACATTATATAATTTGAGGGGATGGAATGGATTATTATGTTGGTTCCTTATTATTTTATTTTTTTTAGAAAACCAAATGAAATTAAATTGAGAAATAAAGAAAAGTATTTTAGTTTATAGAAATCAACTTTGATCTTATAATTTTTTTTATATGACAAACAAATTACACATAAGTTCATGTTTCATGCCATTTGAAATATATCTAATATGTATTTCAAATAGTGAATAAAAGTTTATTTATCTTTAAAAACTCTTTTATAAAAATTAAACAAATAAAATTAAGTATCATGAAATCAAAAAATATAAATATAATAACAAAAAAATCTTAATTTTTTAATTAACAAAAAATCTTAATTTTGATTAATCAATGAATGTTCAATTTCATTTTTACTTGCAAACAAACATGCCAACATAAAGCTCCATTCCAATCCTTTTATTACTATCTATATCAAAGGTTATCTTAATACTCACTTCTCCAAGGAGGTTATGTTGGCTACTCATGTAAGATGATCCTGTGTTCTTTTTACCACTCACTATCTCAAGAACCAAAACCCCAAAACTAAAAACATCCGATTTTGTTGAGAAATGTCCATCCATTGCATATTCAGGAGACATGTAACCACTACATGACATTTGAGAAAAATTATAAGTCTAAAAAATGCGACATTGTTTTTGCATTTTGCATAAAATACATTGATACTTACTATGTTCCGACCACTTTCTTTGTTTTTGCATCGGTTTGATCACTTCCAAAAATCCGTGCCATACCAAAATCAGATATCTTTGGGTTCATATCTTTATCGAGCAAAATATTACTAGCCTTTAGGTCTCGATGAATGATTTTAAATCTTGAATCTTGATGAAGATAAAGAAGCCCTCGAGCAATCCCACATATGATCTCAAGTCTGCTTTTCCAATTGAGTGTCATGTTTTTCTCTTTCTCTATAGCAATTTTAAAGAACAAGTTAGGTTTGAGTAAGAAACTTTATATCAAATGGAAAAAGCAAATCTTGCTACAAACATACCGAAAATGAACATATCAAGACTTTTATTTTCCATGAACTCATAAATTAATAACTTCTCTTCGGCCTCAATGCAACAACCTAATACCCGAACAAGGTTTCGATGTTGCAGTTTCGCGATTAATCGGACCTCATTTTTTAGTTCCTCAATCCCTTGATCGGAAATTCTTGAGAGCCTTTTTATCGCTACAACTTCACCTTCCATTAATTTACCCTATATTTATAATGTATACACTCATGATAACAATTTATTTATATTTCTATAATGATAACCACAAAATATGTATTATGAAACTTATAAAATAGAATATATCCATTACCCTTAATAACAATCTACTTACATGTCTTTACCATAACATAATAGTAACATAAGTACATTTAGTTACTCATAATAGCAATGCACTTAGTTTTTTTACCGATCAAAATAATCTTTAGTCTAACACTTGTAAGTATTTTTGTAACTTCATGTTACATGTACGTTTCTATTATTGCTATTATGAGTAAAAAAATAAAAAAGAATGTTATTTTTTGTAAGATGGCGTATTTTAAATGTTAATACACTGCAAATACTTTACCTTGTAAACACACCCGAACCCTCCTTGTCCAAGTTTATTTGCGTTTGAGAAGTTGTTTGTGGCCGTAACAAGTGTCGAGAAATCAAACAAAGGTAATTCTAGTTCATCCATCTCTCTTTTATTTGGCACAACACTCCCATCATTTAATAAGAAATCTTCGGCTCTTTCTCGTGGACCTAATTTGTATCATAATAAAATATATCAATCACATATGTTAAAAAACAAGGGTAACGAATGTCACAAACCCCATGTTCTTAAGATTAATTCAACTTATATGAGCTCAACTTATCGAAAGTTAATTATGTTTATACTAAACAGTTTGATGACACACGATACTCTAACAAATCAGAACCACAAACTTTTTTTAACCTTAGGGGGTTAATGTGAGTATGAATTATTTTCTATGTTACTTTAATGATAATGGTTTTAGACTTATAAACTAAGGTGCTTGACTCTTCAAACTGAAAATTACCTTTTGTCTTTGCCACTGATTTCTTCGACAATTGTAGCTTCTTCTTCCTCAAGTAAAAGAGTATCAATAGAAATGCCAGCGCCACAAAAGCACCGATGCTAATTGCCACAGGTTTGACAACTTTGTTGTCACTACTGGAGCCATTTTTAGACCTTTTAATCATCGGTGTTTTGTCTGTAGTGAATAAGTTCAAACTTTTAATCATCGATGATTTGAAATGGGTTTCAAGATCAGGTTTATATGGGTGTGAGATTAGTCAAATTAATTTTAAATAATAAAAGATGAGAAATCTCCAGAAAAGTCCTAAAATTTTACCCTAATTTACGAAAAAGTCCCAAACTAAATTTTGCTTACGAAAAAGCATGAATTACCGGTAAAAGTGACGATTTGAACACTTTTTTCCGGTTTACCGGTTTTATTACTTACATGTTTCACTAAAGTCCCATTATTTTACCCTAATTTGCGAATAAGTCCCAAAATAAAATTTACTGATGATTTGACTATTTTCTCTATGTAACATACATTGTACCAGTTTCATTGCTGACCCGGTCGCCTAGTCATTAAATGAGATGATGAGGTGGATATGTTGACTATACATAATGCTATGTTTAGCATAAAACTTGATATCCTGATGTATTGTATATCTTTTTGGAACATAAAATGCATCCAACGAAGACTACAATAATTACATAAACTAACAACAACTGTGTTATTTTTTACGTTTATAAGAAATATCAAATTGTCTATCTAATCTTATGTAACCCAATATATCCATCTCATCAGACATCAACTCGTTTTCTTTCTTTTTTTCTTGGAAACACACATTTTATTGGTTTTATTGCTGACGTAGATACATAGTCATAAATTAGCCGATGAGATGGGTATCAAATTTTACAGTAAATGTTACATTATATAACTCATCGTATTCATTTTATCAGCTAATTTGATGACTAAGTGTAAGTAATAAAACCGGTAAACCGATAAAATGTATGTTACATGAAGAAAATGGTCAAATTATCAGTAAATTTTATTTTGGGACTTATTCACAAATTAGGGTAAAATAATGGACTTTAGTGAAACATGTAAGTAATAAAACCGGTAAACCGGAAAAAAAAAGTCAAATCGCCATTTTTACCGGTAATTCATGATTTTTCGTAAACAAATTTTAGTTTGGGACTTTTTCGTAAATTATAGTAAAATTTTAGGACTTTTCGTAAACATCCGTCAGACCCATCTCGTAGATTCCATGCTTGTTTGTTTTTCGGCCGGAATCCTGTCATACAATTGCAGACCGGTGCAGTGGTTGCATCACAAACGCCGAACGGACCACATTCACTAAAGTGATCGCATAAATCACCGGGAAAAGCCCAGAATACATTCCAAGTTTTTGTTGTTTCTGCCCAAACAAGTCTTTCACTTATACCAGAAGAAGTTATAACGACTCGCGAATAAATAGAACTATCGGGTATTTCAAAAGAATAAATAATCTCGTCGGAGTTCTCCTGAAATTCAAAACGCAAAATACTCACCCCATTCATCTCCGGTGTACCGCTGAAAGTTCTCCCGTTCCACGGCCCAGTCCGCCAAATTAGATTTTCGTTGTTAGTTGACAAAATTTCCGGGAACCCACTGATATTCAGTTTAAAAGAATAATCACCGGTCGCCGGATTTTCTTCCGTCTTCCACGACTTCAAAAACCGATTGATTCCAGATTTCCTGTCCCACCCCAGTTTCATCTCCGGCAAGAGAGTATCAGTCGGATAATCAAAGCTTTGCCAAATGTAATTCTCCGGGTTCTCATCATTTTCCGAACGAAGCACAAAGTTACCGTTGTCCAAAAGCTGCGCCACCGTCTTCACCACCGGTGTAGATTGATTTGACGACCAGACGATGGTTCCCGCTTGATCTACCAGCACCATGTTGCCGTTGTCGACGATGGTTAGGTTCCCGGAGGATGAAGTAATGGGGGTATCTCTGTTAGCTACCCAAACATATGTTATGGGTTGTATTTGTTTATACCAGATTCCTATATACAAATTATTGCTGGTATTGAAGAAACCCAACTCGAAAACTTCACCATTAGAGACTAGAGTTTGATTGATGGTGAGGGGTTGTGTGGGTGTGATGGTGTCAATGGCTACACAGAGAAAAGGGTAGAATAGAAAGAATGTGAAGATGAAGGTGCTGACATGGCTATGGAGGGTTTTCATTATCTGAAAGTTACAAAGATCAATTGAATTTTTGTTTTTGTCTTTATTGGTTTGGTGAATTGAAGATTTTAAGTTGGCTCTTATCTTTAAAGAGTTCGTGGAAATGGTGGAACAAATGTCAATAAGGTGTGTTATATATTTTTTTTCTTTTAATTTTTTGAGTACTTTGACCACATAAATATTCTTTTAAAAATTGTGAATGACTATATATATATATATATATATATATATATATATATATATATATATATATATATATATATATATATATATTGAAATTAACTAATTATATTACAATAAGTTAATACATCTTAGTTATTATCGTACAACGAATGAGAAGACAAACGGGCAACAAGTTGCACCGCTAAGCCTTTTTGTATGGTAAAACCAATTTTTTTGAAGACTACATCCATAGATCTAGGGGATATAACATTGTTATGCATGATCTAGGGAAAACCAAACGTATCAAATGCAAATGGTATGAACACGTGTTGATTTTTAATGCACAGTTTCTCATGTTTGGTGACCTTGGATGTAGCAGTTTTTAATGCAGTTTGTCCCGTCGTGAAACCCCGTCCCTCAAGCCTACGAGGGGGGATATCCATGTAAGGTCCACACATGTGTGTTTCCCTCTAACCCATCCAAAAATCAAAACGTCGGCCGATCTAAGAGTTGACCTTCCTACTGTCGAGTCAGTTAGGAAATTCACAGGAGCATCTTTCTTGGCAGAAACCCTGACACGCTTAAATATGCCAACCAAAACATCTCTAACCATATCATGATTGTATTTGAACCCCATGAGTTCTTTGCAATGAACTGCATGCTCTCCAAGTATGATTAAGATAACGAGATAAGTAATGGGGCCGAATGATTCGTCATATTTAAAGTTCTTCATGGAAAAGTATGATTAAGATAACGACTTGATGTATACTACTGAGTTAATCACTTAGAAATAAACTAAGTATATATTTAGTCATTAAGAAATAAATATCTTCTTACTTTTCTTCTTAATTATCTTTCTGTCGATTTGAAATGATTGCAAGTGTCTTAAAATATAATTAATTTTATCAAAATATGATATTTGTCACCATTTCACATAAATAGAAAGATAAATAGGAAGAAAAGATAAGATGATATTTAATTTGTCATAGTCATTTTCCTTTTTGTTATACACGATTTACAACATTAAACCTCAAACCCCATATCATTGTTTAAAATTCTATCATTTAGGTTATAGATATTGTAAGTTAATGTTTCTTTGGCATCTATGTGTCTAAATGTGTATTAATTAATACTTAATATTAGGAACTTATATATGGATGTGTCACTCATTTAACTTGCATCATTTTTTACTTAGAATTGGACAAACAATAAATTGAAGCAATGTCTTCTTCTATCTTTTCCAACTTATATACGATGGTGCAAAATTGAATAACCATGCCTCTCAATGGAAGACATCTTGGACACAAGATAATTTTGGAAGATCGTTTAGAGAGTGCCCTAACTCTATGGTAAGTGGTATTACATTCAATTTTTTAAACTAAACCAACAAATCTCTCAATTTTTATTTTTTCGTTTTTCAAAAGTTTAAGGAAAGAAATGTTTTTTTCTTGGGAATGGCCTATGAAACTTAAAAATAGGTGGTATCATGATAACCTAGTTGGTATCAATAAGAAGTTGAAGACGTAGAAGAGATAACAAATTGGAGGAGGTAATTTTGAAGCGAAGATTACTTCATTGGAAGATGAACTAACATTTACAAGATGAATTAGCATTTAAAAGTTTTAGGTAATAGAATTGCATAAAATGGAAGTACAAGATCTTTCCTTTCCACTTACTCGTAAGAGAGGTGTAATAGTTGTGTTGTTTGTTATGTATGTAGTTAAGATAGTTGTGTTGTCTGTCTGGAAAAGTGTTGTCTGGTAAAGTGTTGTCTGGGACTGGGAAAGAAATCATGCTGTTTGATTGTACATCTGATTGACTGTGCTGAATGATGAAAAAAAGTAATAATTCAATAAAAAATAAATTTAAAAAAAAAAGTTATTTAAAAAAAATTAATAATCCAAGAAAGAAAGAAAGAGGCGGGGTTTGGTGCATAATTGTCTTTCCAGCCCATTCAGCCAGAAAGATATGATTTTGGGGCTTTCTTGTAACACCCGGTATCAGAAAAGCCAAGAAAGGAAAGAAAAACCTTAAGTCAAAAGGGGGTCAACTCGTCGAGTCCAAGGAAGAACTCGACGAGTCGGAGCGGGATCCGAGTGCAAGATTAAGTGACCGACTCGACGAGTCGGAGAGTGGACTCGGCGAGTCAGGTCTGGGTTAGGAAGCCCTAATTCCGGGACTTGGTGCCCTATTTAAGCATCTTATTCTCTTCCCTAGGGTTCATTACAGCCTCTCTCGTCCAGAACCCCAAAACACTAGCCACCCAACTTCATTTTTGGAGCTTTTGGTGAAGATTAAGGTCCATTGGAGTGGATTTTGAAGGCTTGGGAGAAAGGAGCAAGGAAGGAAGTGTAGATCCAGCCTTCACATCGAGTTGGCAACTGTTAGAAGGTAAAAAGTCTGGACCTTGAGCTTTCAATTGATAAATCCCCTTTCTAGCTTGCCTTTTTGTCACAATTGGATCATTTCCAAGTAGAATCCGAGTATTAAGCCTTTGTGGATGGTTTGGACAACAGATCTGGACACTCTTGAGCTTTAGAAGCTCAAAGTAGTTGGCTTTATTCAGCTAAGGTCCCATTTCATGACCTAGGTCTTCCTTGAAGCTTAGATTAAGTGTTTTAGCCTCATAGCACCTTGCATGCACGTAAAGTTGGCAACTTTACGTGCAATGCTAGCATAAGGAGTCCAGATCTATGGGTTGGAAGTGTTGGAATTGACTGAAATCGACAAAATAGAGTTGTCACAAGGAGGACTCGGCGAGTCGGGTCGCAAAACCTAAACCCTTCTGTTT